GGACACAACCCCCATTTCATCTTTGACATGACCTATGACCTGGTCACGCCCCTTGGTGTTTTGTTTAGAGATATCGAACGGAATCGTGGAAGCGTTTTGATAATTTGAGAACCCTGCTGTTTGTCCATCAACTGACAGACAGACGTGATTGCTTGGATCTGCAGTTATTGAAGAGACTGAAGAAACTTGTAGTCCTCCATCGATCAGCTGCAACAACTCGGTTTGCAAGGCTTCGAAACTTGGTCTTTTGTCTGGATCTTCATCCCAGCAACTCATCATGTGTCCATACCTGAGCAGGTAATACATAGATTATAATTCATTAGTCTCATGTCACGTCTCTTCAATTAAACAATTTTTATGCTGATTAGGAAAGTCTGATTTTATTTGATGCATTAAAACATATTTTATAGCTCGTCTATTTTGCCTATAGAAATAGAAAAATTCATTCAATTTAAATATTTTGAAAAAGTTTATGTAAAAAGTTTATGATTCTTGACTTTGAACGTAATTGAATAAAATTATTCATTATTTTTCAAATTTGTTCCAAACGGCTTAATCCATTTTCTAAAAATTTTGACTATTGATTTTAAACTAATATTATATCAATCAAATTTTATTTTTACAGCTCTATACGTGGTACTTTTACAATATTATACATGGGACTTTTACAGCACTACAGATGTTACTTTACAGCACTCTTCATGGTATTTTCACAGCTGTATGCATGCTACTGTTACCGCACTATAAAAAGTAATATTACAGCATAGTTATAAGCACTTTAACAGCACTGTACTTACATAACATCAGGGCAGAAATGAGGTTGATCAAGTCTATGATGTCTTAAGAATGTAATGACTTCCCATCCGTCTACACAGGGGTAGGGAATCATTCCTCGTGTCAACATCTCCCACAGCACCACACCATACGACCACTGCAACATGAAACTATACTACAGGACCACTGTAACATGAAACTATACTAAAAGTACCGCTATAACATGAAACTATACTACATGACTACTGTAACATAAAACTATACTACAGGAACACTGTAACATGAAACTATACTAAATGACCTCTGTAATATGAAAATACAATACAGGACCACTGTAACATGAAATTATACTACATGACCACTGTAACATGAAACTATAATACACGACCACTGTAACATGAAACTATACTACAGGACCACTGTAACATGAAACTATACTACCTGACCACTGTAACATGAAACTATAGTATAGGACCACTGTAACACGAAATTATACTACAGGACCACTGTAACATGAAACTATACTACAGGACCACTGTAACATGAAACTATACTACAGGACCACTGTAACATGAAACTATACTACAGGACCACTGTAACATGAAACTATACTACAGGACCACTGTAACATGAAACTATACTACAGGACCACTGTAACATGAAACTATACTACAGGACCACTGTAACATGAAACTATACTACAGGACCACTGTAACATGAAATTATACTACAGAACCACTGTAACATGAAACTATACTACAGGACCACTGTAACATGAAACTATACTACAGGACCACTGTAACATGAAACTATACTACAGGACCACTGTAACAGGAAACTATACTACAGGACCACTGTAACATGAAACTATACTACAGGACCACTGTAACATGAAACTATACTACAGGACCACTGTAACATGAAACTATACTACAGGACCACTGTAACATGAAACTATACTACAGGACCACTGCAACATGAAACTATACTACAGGACCACTGTAACATGAAACTATACTACAGGACCACTGTAGCATGAAACTATACTACATAATCACTGTAACATGAAACTATACTACAGGACCACTGTAACATGAAACTATACTACAGGACCAATGTAACATGAAACTATACTACAGGACCACTGTAACATGAAACTATACTACAGGACCACTGTAACATGAAACTATACTACAGGACCACTGTAACATGAAACTATACTACAGGACCACTGTAACATGACACTATACTACAGGACCACTGTAACATGAAACTATACTACAGGACCACTGTAACATGAAACTATACTACAGGATCACTGTAACATGAAACTATACTACAGGACCACTGTAACATGAAACTATACTACAGGATCATTGTAACATGAAACTATACTACAGGATCATTGTAACATGAAACTATACTACATGATCATTGTAACATGAAACTATACTACAGGATCATTGTAACATGAAACTATACTACAGGATCATTGTAACATGAAACTATACTACAGGATCATTGTAACATGAAACTATACTACAGGATCATTGTAAAATGAAACTATACTACAGGATCATTGTAACATGAAACTATATTACAGGATCATTGTAACATGAAACTATACTTTTTACAATGGACGTTTCTTCACTGTACACCTCGATTCCCCACACAGATGGACTCATCGCAATTTCATTTTTTCTGAAAACGAATCCTAATCCCAATTTTCCAACAAGTGCCATTGTACGTTTGACTGAATTGGTTCTACAGCTTAATTCGTTTGAATTCAATGGCGAATTTTTCGATCAGATCAGTGGTGTTGCTATGGGAACGAAAATGGGACCAAGTTATGCATGCTTATTTATGGGCCATTTGGAACATCTTTGGAGAGAACACTACCAAGGTCCTTTCCCAGAATACTACAGAAGATACATTGATGATTGTATAGGGATTACTAATATGGACATAACAGAACTAGAAAGTTTTATTTACTTCATTGGAAATTTTCATCCAACAATTAAATTCACTTCAATGATCCATAAAAGCACCATCAATTTTTTGGACTTACGAATTAACCTTCATGAGAACAAAATATCTACGTCCATTTTTTATAAACAAACAGACAGTCATAGCTTCTTG